GTCTCACTAACTACACTACGGTGTATTTTCCCTTTTTTAAGGAATATGAGCCTACTTGTAATTAAAGGAATGCTATATTAATGATGCTGAAAGTCTCAGAGGGAAAAATTTAATGTCCACCTCATAATATTATGGCAAAATTACATGCATAGAAGACTTTTTAATAATCTTTGTTTCTTAATTTAGTTTTGATTGGCTATGAAATACAGAGTAGCACTCAAGGGCTCAAATTTCTACTGCCATCAGCATTTCTGCTCTATAAATTGTACAAACGCACAGGACTCCCGTCTGCAGGCTTCTTTTCAAGCTTCTGTTTAACCTATGAAAAAAATTAGCTGCAGGCAAAGATAATTGCTGATAATTTCATATGTTTCTAACCACTGGGATGTAGGATGGTGTTATGATAGCTAGGTCTAAACATAAACGGAAAATTGGGTTTTTATTTTGCCATATCAGCTGCTAACACGGGTTGGTAACACAAATTCATCTCCAGTTTGCAAATTACAGCAATAGCCACTAGGAGTCTCCTGGTTAAGTTTGTGATGAATTTACACACTAATCCTGGCTAAGGTTTGAATGCAAACCCCATGCTAAAGGCTGGATTTCAGCACAGGGGCCAGCCCATGTGAGGGGCAGGTGCGATTTTGGGGTGAAGGGACCCCTGAACGGCACCACAGGGACTTCCAATGCTTGTACTGGGGACACAGCCAGTAAACGTTTTAGAAATTGAGGAGTCAGAAGCCACCTATGCACTGTTCTTGTAGGGGAAAAGATGGTGACGGTCATGAAAAGTCAGATTTGGATGGTTTTGTGAAATTGTAACAAGCGCTTAAAAAGAAAGAAGTAGAAGATTTCACCATTAGTTACTCCTGGGGATTTAAAGCAGGGTTGTTTTGTAAACTGAGATGCTGCAAGTCACAAGAACTAGCATCCCCAGTTACTTTAAAATTTGCTTACAGTATCTCTGCAAGGTGAATCCTGCAGTTCTGAAAACATTAAGTAGCTTCTTTCTCGTCTCTTTCCCCATCCCTTTCCTTCCGGGCCAACTAAGTGTAATCGTATGGTGCCAGACACACTCTTACCAATGCCAAATGCTCAAAGTTCGTGAATTACAGACCCATAGGAATGGTCACACTGGCCTGAATGCTGTGACCAACTCTGAGACTCTGTGACGGCCAAAGGACGGCTGAATTTCCTTGAAGAAATGCCACAGAAAGCAGACGTGCATCATCTGCCAGCATGTGTGCCTCACTCAAAGCAAATCTCGAGCTGCTTAAAAATGTACAGGGAAGCCAGGGGTGACCAGTCATCCCCCACTGCAGGGGGCTGGTTATCCCCCAGGCAGGAGGAGTACTACCTGTTGGGGAAAGGCGCTGTCATGTCCTCCTTACTGACAGAAGCAATTTCATGGCCAGAAACGGTGAGCATTCACTGCTCTAGGCCATTCATTTGTTTATAGCAAAATCCTTTCCCAAGCCCTAAAAACCCCGAGCGACTTTAAAAATGATGAGATTTTAAACACATAATAATTTGGAGGGCTATTTATTTGGCTTCTGCTTTTTGAGCTTCTCAGTAGTTTCATTTTCAAACTTTTCTCTGCAACCAGAAGGACTAAGAAAATAAAGACGATGTTTTAAATGAAAGCTGAGAATCTCACATAATCATAGGACTCCAGGGGTTTGAGGTTTCAGAATAATCTCATGAGTTGTCAATACTGAATGTCACCAGAAACGATAATGTTATTCTCAGAATAGATTGCATAAAAGCGATTGTGGGATAGTTTTCCTGCTGCATGTTCCTCGTAATACCTACAGATGCTGTCCTGGGGGGACAACCCAAAGGTACTTACAAGTGGTGAGCTGCCACATGCTGGGTTTACCTACCAACTAGAGGAGTGCTGCATTTTGCAACAAATCTGCGTGGGCAAAATCTCGTTATTTGGTCTGTCAACTAAACAAGCTCACTGAGTAAAAATTAATAATGGACTCATAAAATGCTTACCTCCATGGGGAATATGCAGAAATAAGTAGGAGGCAAATTCTACCATTAACTGCCCGTCTCCGTGTGCTTGCATGCGTTGCAATGGACGATTGCACTGTGTGCTACTGCAGACTGCCTTAGATTTTACCATCATCTCCCAGCAGGGACTTGGGTGAACCTCTCAGCCTGGTTGTTTCTGGGATATACTCTATACTACGCTGACAGCTGACACAGAATCAACAGCTAGTACCTTAGTGGTGAACAAAAACTTACTAAGCCTGATTGGAGAAGGGATATGGAAGCAAAACAGAAGGCTGCTTCAACTTCCTCCTTGTCCCGCAGAAGCAGGCTCAGCTGTTTGCTACCCTTCCTTATTGTTAGGATATCTGAAAGGACCCTCATCTCCTCCAAGGCAGCGTTAACCTGATTTTAATAACAAAACGCTGATACACAGGTTTAGCACACAAATATTCAATACTCACAACAATAAAACCAAGCATTTGAGTAAGTCAGTTCAGCACTTCACCATGCCGAAAAGAAACCTTTGGATCTGTGTCACTTCAAATTCGTGTTAGTGCAAGAAGTGCACTAACATTCCCTAATGGGAATGCACTCTTTTCCACTGCCCACCTTCTCCAAGTATGCCAATGCTAGCTTCTTAACTCATTTTCTGAAACTAAAAATGAACACAAAAATAAAAGATCTCCTCAGTGGGAAATGTCAAAGGCTCAGCCCTACAAATATATAAAACATCATTTTGAAGGAAATGTGTAATTTTTACACATAGATATAGTACAGCTAGACATGAAGCATTTTTAGGGATGAGAATGCTCTGCTGCTGTGCAGTACTTAAGGAACGTCAAATGTTTCTGTTATTTTCCTAATGTTTCAAGTAAGTCAAACCATTACCACTGCATATCTGAATATTGTGTATATATACAATATACAGCTATACTGAAAGCAAATACAGCAGTTCATGATGTAGGAGTCAGTCAGCCTACACTCACATCACTAAATACACACCCTCCTCATTGTGCGTGCTCTCTCTTCCTCTCCGCAGTTCTTCCTCTTTCTCTACTGCTCGTGTCAGGATTCTGGCGGCCTTCTGCATCTCAAGGGCTTAAGCAGCAAGTGAGCTACAGCTGTAACCTCAGGTCGTTCCCAAGCAAACTTTCATCCCCCATCACAGCATCAAGGACCTTGCTAGGTCAAATGTTTTCAGAGGAAGTTCTGGCACCATTTTTAATACTTAGATTTAATCGAAATGCCTTTTTTCTGTTTATTTGGTTTTTGTTTAAAATCATTATTCTAACTAGAGAGCAGACTGATAACCAAGCCATTCAGAAACTTACAAGTCACTTAAGACAGGAACTGGTACAATGTTTATCTGCACTAAAAGGAAGAAACAAGTTGTGCTAGGCAGTTTCTTTTGCATTAAAAGAACAACTTTTCTTATTCACTACATGATGAGTTACTAAAGGGCGCTGATTGAGGGCTAAATCACAGCTATTGCTATTCTGAGAGAGAAAATACACTTCAAGATAAAGACCATATTACATGGGGCATGTTGCTTTTATTTCTTTTTAAACAGTGGCTGCTTGAAGCTGCTCAGAGGTTTAGAGTGTCAAAACCATGTCAGCAGAGATGGATTAGTGGGCAGGGAGCAAGTGGTGCAGTCAAAGGTTTACAGTGAATGTAATTTATTCACGTAGCTCCGCAATTTATCACGTGGCTATTACCATAATGTACGTGGGAAGCAGCTGCATGCGTGCACATAATGCCCTAAATGTATGTGTGGTTGGACCTGAACTCCTTACAGAACAGTAGTGGTTGAAAATGATACCATAAGGCATTTGAAAGCAAATTTCTTTCCCGTGGGGATGCTGTCACACAGCAATGATGATTCGTACACAGGGAAATAAATATCTTGTAGACTTTTCTCAGTTATGATAACCTCACTCATTGGTTTTTCAAACCTAAATTATGTAGGTAATGTGATGTACATTTCCAGTGCTTTATTAATAGATGTAAGTACATATGTTTTGCATGTCAAACGCACATTTTCTTGTCAAGGAATAATGTATTTTCCACTCAATATTTGACAGAAATAGTCAGTGGCAAAAAAATGAATTCTCCACGTTTGTGAGGAGAAACAAGTTACCTACAAGTCGAAGATTTCCTTTAACTCAAATGACCTGTTACAGCACAATTTATCAAATACTTGGGAACAGCACAGCTGTAAAAGGCTGATATACATCGTCTCTGCCCGGTTTCTCATACCTGTACAATTATTTACCAGGCCCAACATTTCCAAAACTAGTCTCTAATTTTAGGAGCATCTAAATTAAGGAGCTTGACGTCCGTCTCTTTTCGTTGGCTTGAATGCCTACGGTTTCAGTTAAAGAAGAAAGCTGTCAGTAGTTGGTAGAGCTGGCCCCTACCTGAAGGCGTTTCTCACTGTGCTGTCCATACAGGCAGGAATGGACCTGCCGGTATGCGCCTGCTGCGTGTGGCAGCAGGGCTCAGGCAATGCTCCCTGCGGCTTTGTAGGCTTTTCGGAAAAACTCCACCAGCCCAGCTCCCACCACCACTTTCTAAGCTTCTGTGGTTTGAGTTTCTAACAATGGTCTCATGCTTGGAAATGATGCTGAATTACACCACGCTAAGATGCTTACAGGCGATTGTATTGGAACCAACTCACGTCTTTTGTGATTCAGGCAAATGCACCCCAGTTACAGGCTAGTGCACTAGGAGTTTCACACTGCTTTCTTTTAAGTCATTAAGAGCTGACCTAGAGACGCACCAAATTGAGACAAAGTCAAGTTAGGTCCCCATTAGTAGAACATCTCATTGCTCAGCTTAATGTACCACGCAGCATTTTGTTCAGCAGAACCTTTCACATTCGGAATATGATGCGGGTTTTCTTGGATAATTACATGTGCACTCTAGGGCTTCCATTTTGAAGCCATCTATCACAAATATATACCCACTAATTATGCAAAATTAAAAACTTGCCTTACCATTGCACAGAAAGTCTCAGGAGGATCTCCACATGTTATGTCTGGGGGATCCAGAGTCACTTTTACATATTTGATCATGTCTCTGGCTTCCGGCTGGCAGGCCATGTAATCCCATACTTTTCCTTCTTCTGTGTAAATCTGAGTCTTACACACGTCATAGTGTCCCCACACGGAAGGGTAGTGCTGCATCACGGAGGACACAGTAACCCAGAGGGCGTGAAGTGACAGGAATCTTGATAAATACATTTCTAAATCCTTTTATGTCACCTTTGTACGGATGCTCAGTACTGGCGTACGTGCAGTCTATAGATTATACACATACATACATATACATGTATGTATTTCATAAAATAGGTTCCAACTCAAACGTGAAGCATTAGGATAGCGTGTTTGTTTCACTAAGTTGAAGACTTTGGTAGAAGCCACCCAGACCCTGATGACAGCCTTTCACAGCCACACAGTGCTTGTCCTTTGTCTTATAACTTATCTGTCAGGGCTTCTTGTAAAAGATGTCCAATAGCAGATAATAATTTGGGAAGTTGCAGGTCTTCAGCTACACTGTCGATAACCCTGAGTGATCCTCCGTCTTCAGGGCTCGCAGAGGATGCCCAGACGCACTGATAAATCAGTATCCGAAGCAAAAGGATGAGTGTCTACAGGCTGGTGTCTGTTTCCCATCAATCATTCTTTTCTTCTGGCACCAGCACCCTTTTAGAAACAATAAGAGTTAGAGTTATTGTCCAAGAATCAATGCATTACAAAATATATGATATGTTGACATTTTGGAGGTTTGATGCAATATAAAGCAAATTGGTATAATATGGATAACCTTTACCGTGGGTGCTGTGCTAGAATGAACAAACTACCAAAATCATTCACAGTGAAAAGTATTTTGACATGAAGGATTTAACTCTTCTCTAACGAAGACAGATTTATAACATTCCAGGTGAGTTACAGGTTTCTGCTTGCAAAACTGTATTTTTACCCTGGCAAAAGCTGAGAGCAAACTACTGAACTCAACCATTGCCCAAATAGTGCGGGCAGGGAAGCAGGCAGCCCAGTGCCTTGGGGCAGCAGCAGGAAGGCTCTTTTATTTAAGTGACACAGAGATGGGTATCAGGGCTACCAGGTGCTGAGAGTCTCTTGGCCTTGCCAGGACCTCAGCGAGCTCCAAAAGCCTTACGCGTTTCTTAGATTTTTTTTTTTTGGGGGAAAGAGCTTTGCTCCCTTTTTTTTTTCCTCTTTGAACTGTGATTTACTGATCACGCTAATGATAAACTACTGATAAAGATAATGGTTCATTTGTAGCTTACTGTGAGGATGCCTTCCCCCTCTGTTATGGCAGCCTTATTTTTCTAGGTTTGGGTGTGGGGGAACCTGTGTACTCAGTGTTTATTTCATAGCAGATATAGCCCCGTATCCCCTTTCCTCTCTTCAGAAAGCAACTAGGAATCCCCTCTCTTTCTATCACCTCAATCATATTATTACACGTATAAAATCCTAGGATGTTACTACAATGACTTAAAATACACATTTGCTAAAAAGCACAGGTAAAAATACAAATTATATATGAGGGAAACTACAAAGACAGAGCAAGTACCCTAAACACAGACAAGGAAAAACAGGGCTAAGAACTCCAGTGCGTTTCTCTCAGGCTGTGCCTGGTGTCAGCCCATGCCAGCTGAGGACGAGGAGCCTGGGCACTGGGCTCTCCGCAGCAGAAGGATTTCAGCCAGCTGCCGCAGCACCTCTGCACTACTTTTGTCTGGATGTTAAAATTTAAGCAAACCCACCAGACAGATATTAAGAAACAACTGTTTTCTGCAGCCTGCTTTGCTTGTTCCCAGTTTTAAATTATGCCCAGCGTCATGAACCCTCCTATACCCCAAAACCATGGGAAGTGGTACGTGACCTGGTGAGCTCCTCAGCGTGTCACTTTGGTAATAGGCATTTTTCAAAACTTATCTTCAAAGCTATTCGCAAATGGCCTCCCTATATTTAAATAATGCTTCATCTTAAACTGAGCTAAGCTACAGACACTATGAAATGCCAACAGATGGTTGAATTGTGTTTCCATAGCAAAGTAATTTACAATAATTGCCGTATGGACGTAAATGCAATTTTCCATTATATTCATTTTATCAAGTGTTACCATACAACTCTTGTATATTTTATCAGAATATGCAGAGAATATCTGAATTTTCATGCAATAGCAATTCCCAATCAGTTCAATAATATTTAAGCTTCAAATCTGAATTTGACACAAAAGCAGAAATATCTAGGACGAAATTAAAATGAAATCTTTTTAAACAGCACACTGTGTAGTACCACTGTTTTTGTAGTGACCTTACATTCTTTTTTGTTTTCAGTGGGAATGTTTACTTATCTTGGTATCCAGTAATTCAGAGAACACTTTCCATGTCTTTCCCTCTTGTCCTTTTAAATGTATTTTACTATTTTGCAGGGGAAAAAAACACTCACAAACCCCCACAGCTTAGAACAGTCATTATACAAAAGGGAAACAAGTACTCTGCTAACAAAAGAGCCAAATTATTTTAAATTTGTGACAAATCAAAACATACTGTATTGGAGAAGGCTTGGTCATAGCTAGAATAAACAGTAGATGAATACCGTGTTTCTGTGTAGAAATGAGAAGGTACTGAGTTTAATTATCCTTAGACAACAAGCTTGTCTATTCAGGCAAAAATAGATTTGTTTAGTATTTTCCTTGCTAGCTCTTCAGTTACCCATAACCTTTTATAACTGCTGAGACTCAGATCAACTAATAAACATGACTGGATAGGTTTCAAATAATGTGAAGGAAGCCACTACCTTAACACACTGTGCTAAAATACTTCCCATATAACGAATTCTCATTAAAGCAAGCCAGAGTCATAATGATGGTCGTTACACAGAATTATAGACTATAACATCGATCAAATTTAGTGCACTGACAAGGAAAAAGTGCAGAGGAGTGCAAGACATCTGAGCATTAGGCAGCTGTAGCAGTGTACGACAGACATTCCTGACAAGAAGCAGCCAATTATAGCTTAAATTTCTGGCACATAACCAGTTCTGATTAATAGTTTTCCATTACATTACAGACATATTATTAATGTATTAAAAATGTCAAGCTTTGGCAAGAACTAATACGGCATGGCTCAGTTAGTCTGCAATATCTTCTTTTAATGAGCTTCCATTGATACAGAGAAAGATATTGACCAAAGCACATTAAGGATCATGTGCTGAGCACTGCTGGGGTTTTTCTGATGGAGCTTATACGATTTGTCTTGCTTATATTTATTCCTGCAGAGTCACTCATGATATGCATTCTGTATTTCAGTGCTCTATTGCTAAAGGACATACCTATTTGAATTATTCTGTAAAATTACTCTGTTTAGAATAACATTTCTGAAGTTTACAGCTGTACCGGTTGCCTACCGCTAAGCCTCTAGCTGTGGGCAACACAAAGCGATACTTTTTTTTGTCTCCAGTAACGCCTGTGCATTTGACCTTACAGAAAAGCAATCAAACCAATCAGGAATAATGAATGCCTGGTGCCCCGGTGGCCTGCACCCTGCAGTGCTCTGCTAGTCGCCCACCCTCGGTGTTGGGGGCCCATGTGGGTGACAACGAGGGAGCCACATCTCTCCTGACTGAGGGCGAAGGAACGGTGAACCGCTGGAAGGGCATCAGCTAATGTATGCAAAGCCTCCAGAGCACGCCGCTCCTGGAGATCTCTGTGGGTCAACGGCGGTACGAACTGCGGGATGTTTCAGGCCTTGAACATTCCCATGTGCCGTAGCCTCTGCAATATGGAAAACACCGGGAAGCACCCGAGAGGCAGCGGTGCTGAAGGCCACTTCTCCTGTCTCTGCCTTCCCTCAGAGCACTGCTCCATCTGCAAAGTACTGGACGTTCAGGCCACAGTGAGCACGTTGGGGCTGTTTGAGAAGAACGGCACGCAGCTGACCCCCAGACTCAAATGGGCTGTGAAGATGACTCTGAGCACACGCATTCCTTTCCAGGTGGGTAACTCACACCTCGCGCACCATTTTATTTCTGCAGCCTGAGCAGATACCCCCCTTTCACAAGCCAGCTAAAATGCATCTCGGCAGGCTCGGTGCCGGTAAAGAACTTCAGATCTCATCAGGGGTTGCTAGCAAACACTCCTCCTCCTCTGCCTCCTTCCATCACTGTGAAAATCCACCCCCTTCCCCAAATAACTCCCTCTGCACAAACCACATCGGCTGGACACCCTGCATGAGCTCCCTGCCGGGAGGTCGCAATGCAAACCACACAGGGTGGGCTCCTGGCCTCCCTCTCTGGCAAACAGCAGGTCCGCGAAGGAGGTAACAAAATAACCAGCGATCGCCTCTCACGCAGACCGTGCATTTGATAAAGCGTGCACTGCCACCACGCACGGGTAAGAACGAGAGCCAAACGCGGTTATTGCAACGCTCGGCTGCCTGAGGAGAACTGGCTAAAATCATTAAGCAAGGCAAGGAGTGCTGGCTGTCACCTCCCAACAAGGCAGAACAGTTTTTTTCCAAGGGAAACGTGTTTTAAGTTTGTATCCCTAACAGCTTCAGCAGATGAATGTATCTAATCAAGCCCAGGTAAAGAGATCCTTTGTGTCCACTCCAGTTGTTAATTATTTAAAGATAGTTTAGCGCATGTGAAATAATGTGTATTACAAAACAGAACTAATCCTCAACTAATACCTTCAACTTAATAAAACCAAAGTGTTTTATACCTTGCTATACCTAGACAACTTGAGAACCTGGTACGTTCAAAGCTCCAGTATTTATAAAAAAAATCCCAGCCCAACCTCTTTTATAAATGCAAAATTATTCATCTATGCAAACAAGAAGGGATCCTGTATTTAACGATTTAATACACACTTTCCACCACACTTGCATGAAATACAGAATATTCCAAACAATTGCTGTGGTGCCTTTGGACTCAAATGCTGTTCCAAACAAAGTTTAGGTTCTATTTTTACCCAGCTTATTTAACTGTTTAGCAGAAAAAGATTTCTTTGCCTCAGGAGGAATTAAAAATGTCAATATCTATTGGTTGAAGAAAATAAAATACCGCGTTCTGCTACCAAAAACCTGAGATTCGGCACTATGCTTAAAATATTTCTGGTTTTCCCACATCATTCTTTGCTGAGTGACACTTCACACTACCACTGCCATTACTTGCCGGGTATCATCAGCTGTCAGCATATGGAGTAAAAGCAC